CCCCCCCCCCCCCCCCCCCCCCCTCCACTGAGTGTCACAAGTTAGATATGTTGAGGTAAATGGTTGATATGTTTGCAAAGGATATATGTGTACACAGATGAACTAGTTGGATCAGATGATATAGTTGGATCAGATGAATAGTTGAAGGGTTTGATACATTTGGATCAGATGATTGAACATGAATTGCTTCCCAGGGGGCCCCGAAAAGTTCACGAGCCCATATATATATATATATACTTGCACTTCCGGGAATGTTGGTGCCATTATCATCGTTACCCAGCCCAAACATTCCATGATAATTAACGGGACATCTATGCATACCATCTGGCCCCATGTTGAAGCACCCCTGGCCTGCTCCAATTTCCCCTAGTGGTTTTACTTGAATTGCTTAAGGAATCTGGAAAAGCATCAAAACAAAAGGTGAGCTACGGTAGAACGGCCAAAAACTACTCAAAAAGTGTGACAAGTCATGCCTACAGCTCCCCCCTAACTTCGTCAGGGGGTACACATGCTCCCATGATCAAAACCAGGTTCAAGACGTGCTTCTTAGGCCCTGCCAGGATCACGAAAAACATCTGGGAGCGGGATTCGGAGTGACTTTTTCTGCCAGCACCCGAGTCAACAGGTCTCCGACATGGCTTTTGACAGACTTGAAAAGTGGCAGGTGGTGACCTCACACATATCTTCTTCGTGCGAAGTGGTTTAAGAGTATCCCAGGAGCTAGTCAGGTTTGGGGTGATCGGGCGGCGGAGTCGGGAGCCTGAAAAAGGGCGAAGTTGGGCCTTGAACCCCAAACCATCCATGGGAATGAATGGCATGTGAAAACAATCTCTAAAACAATGGAAAACCATCTTGAAAATGCCAGTCCCAAACAGGTTGTGTCTGGGAAATGCACTGCCCGACCTTGCATGCCGTTTTTGAGGGTATCCATAGCTCTCCCACATTCCGAGCAACTCGAAGAGCAGGGCTCGGTACTTCTCAAAGGGGTCGGAATAGGCCAAGAACATCCTCGACCCGCTCGTTGCTCTTAGTCGCTTAAGGGTGTTTGGAAGCTATGGTGACGCTGATTTTGTTCGACCACAATTTTGGGGCCTGAAAAGGTGGGCTGAAACATCAAGAAATATATGTCTCCCTCAACCACGCGGAGGTTTGGTCGGAGGTTGGTCACCTTCTTCTCTCCAAACATACTTCAATTGTGAGTTCATTTTGTATGAACACAAAACAACAGCAATTCCACGGACTCCATAGGCCCTAATGCCCTTTCACGAAGGAATTGGTTGCATGTCCCTCTGTATAGTCAACAAGAAACACACTATCCAGCTCCTTCAAAGTGACCTTTGAGTGGAGTCCCATCCAGTGACCTGATCCATCTTTGAAAGGGATTATACGGCGTCACCTTTGGTTTCTGCATCATACACAATGACCGTAGTTACCTCTCTGTGGCTTCAAATAACACGGGTTCTGAGCCTCTTTTCTCAGCCGGTACCGCTGTGGTTTCTCCCACGTCTCCAACAGTACGTTGCAAACATCACCGCGTTCCGAACTTGACAGAAACCGTTGAGCGTCGCTTTGGCCGCGATGATCTCAGTGTTGATGACCTGGAGTTGGTGATCCAAGGATTGCCTTTGGTTGGTGATGCTCAAAGGGAACATCCCAAACATCTTGAAACATTACATGTATAAACATATTAAGCTACATCATGCACACCCGGATTTAACACCACAATAGTTTGCAATGTTTGTCGTGTTTGTCGCACCACCTGAAGCTGGTCTTCTTGAGTCAAGCACAAAAGACCTTGACAGGCATACTGATACTCAAAAACGGGAACCGACTCGTCATCCGGTTGCTTTACGTTGAAGCTTCCGTACATCAAGAATACCATTTGATATTATACCATGATGGTGTTTCTAAGCCTCTTCGGGCTTCACTTGACCCATGAAGCATGACCGCACGACCCTCCACACGTCCCCGGCTCGACGTGCATCGCAGGTCCAAAGCCGTCCCCCCTGCGTCCCCCGCTTCGTTTTGGTGGGGGGCGGAGCCGGCGGAGCTGTGGACGGTGTTGTTTGGGGGCCAAGTGCCACTGAGGTGCTGTGAGGAACTGGATCACGGCGTCCCTGGCCTCCTTGGACAACTGACCTGGGAAGGTCGAACACTCAGCTCGGGCCTCTTTCTTGGCCATACCATGCTGTACCCCTTTTCTTGTGCTGGGAGATGCGATGGTGCCGTCGGACCGGATTCGTGCGTGTCTTTGGGATGCAAGGAGATCAACGGAAGTAAGAATATGTAAGAATCCTTGATGTAAACGATGGTTGGTGTAAGCCGTGGTTTGGTGTAAACCGTGATTTGGTGGAAGCCGTGGTCGGTGTAAACGGTGGGTGTACACGATGGTTGTGATGTAAACCGTGGATTGGTGTAAAGCGCGGTTTAGTGTAAACGATGGTTGGTGTAAACGGTGTTTGGTGTAAACCGTGGTTTGACGTAAACGGTGATTGGTGCAAACCGTGGTTGGTGCAAGCCGAGCAGCAGCAGCAACACAGAAACATAGAAACAGCAGCAGCAGCAGCGGCAAAGAAGCAGCAACAGCAACAGCGGCCACGTTGGGAACTGAGAACCGGTCAGGGGCGAAGGGGGAGTTGAACCGGAGGGCGGGGGGTATATCCGTGATATATATTCGGCGGGTTCCACCCCTCCTTGCTAAAGGAAGACAGACTCCAGCTAGCTAAAGCTGCAGCTTTCGTGATTTGGACCCTCTTCCTCCGCGTTCCTTCCTTCCCAAGGCGCCGTGGAACACCTGGCGCAGCTCCCGCAAGCGGCGCTCGCGGTGCTTGGCCACGTTCGCCATCTGCCCGTAGGAGGCGCGTTCCATGCGCATGCCGCCCAACTCCTGGAGATTGGCTCGGCTCGGTGAGACTTGGTTAGACTCAGTGGATCCGAGTGTTTGGGTCCTAAAAGGCAAAGGGAAACGCTTGGCTGGGGGTTGAAAGAGGAGCTTGCTTGAAGTGCCAACTCGATGAGTTGTTGCAGGGCTGGATGGAAGACTTGAGCGATTTGACTTCGGGGGGGAAGCAGAGAGTTTCACCTGAGAAGTATGTGATTCATGGATTCATCGGTCTTCTTCATACAAAGATAAAAGATCAAAAATACAACAAACCTATATAAACCCTCTCCTTCTCCTACATAATATGGTCTATGATCTATGTCATGTCTATGTCTTGCAAGAGAGCAATCCTTTCAGTGCCAACAAGGGGAAACACGACCAAAACACATTGGCTGAAACGACTTTCAAGTGAAAACACACCTGGCCCATATTAAGTCCAAGCATGGCTTTAACATGCTTTAACCATGTGAGTGTCGTTCTTAGTGGTAGTCAGTCACAGTCTGAGTCAACAACCTCCCACCTGGGCCCCACGAAAGTCATTCCGGGACAGATCCCCAGACTGACGACGCCCCAGACACGACGTCACTGTGCTCTTCACTCATACCCAAACACGACCAGTCTGGGACTGCCAGTCCGATCAAGTCCGGCCGTCCCTTGGGACGTGTCACTGCCAGTCGATGTACCTTGACCGACCCGGTACGTTGACCGACCAGTACCGTGAACGTACCGGTAGGTGTCGGTTTGGACAGACGACCGGACTGGGCGAAGATCGTGCAGCCATGTTTCGTCCCAATTCAGAGGTCACGAAGCAAAAACTCCAAAACAACGTTCAAAGACTTCTGGAAGAAGACAAATGAGTCAAACAAAAGTAGACAGTGTCGTTGAACAAGTTATATACCTGCTCAAACGCTCCGTGAAAACAGCCCGACTGGTCCCTCACAACCATAGAGATTGGTGAGAAACCCTAGACCCCTCCAAAGGATTCGGGTCCGACCCCTCCAAAGGATTCGGGTCCGACCCCTCAGGATTCGGGTGCCCGGTCGCGTCTGGGTGAGAACATACAACCTGAAACTGGAACGAGCTCATACACACCGAAAAACACAACAAAACGCATGATCGAACATCGATGGGTCCCATACTTAGTCTGACTATACTACAGTAAGGTCCCTTTCCTTTTTTCATCTGAACCAATGTCATACCCCCAAAGCCAACATGTTTTCACACACACCGGCCCTATATAAGTATCAGTATCCCATGTCATACCCCAAACATGTTTTCATACGGACGGGCCCATATCATTCCACCTCGGTCATCCTCTCAACCACGCCGCCACCGCCCTCCACCACCCGCTCTTCCCGCGCCACGCTCTCCGCTCGCCAGCCCGCCTCCCCCAGCGCCAAGGCTTTGGCTTTCAATTCGCGGGTCGCTTGCAGAAACCGGATCAGCTCCTCGAAGCCTCCGTTCGTCCGTTCGTCCGGAAGGGGAGACCGACGACGATTCGTGGTGCTTCGAGGTGCTGTTTTGCGGGGAAGGTCCAAACATGCCGGGGAAGGTCCGAACCCTGCCAGGTCTCCGAAATGCATGGAGGGTTGGGTGATATTGGGTGGGAAAGGCCCAGGCCCTGTTGGTGTCCAATTGACCTGGTTTCAGGAACTGTGCTGGATGGTCTCATTGCGCCGTCAATTTGATCCTTTTGGCCGTCATGTTAGGCCCTTGAACAGCACATCCCCCTCTCTTGGTGTTGCAAATGAAGCTGTCGTGGAGCCGAAACCTGCCGTGTTTTCGAGCGGTGTCGGGATCAAACCGAAACAATCCATGGGACTGGAATAGTTACATATATGACCCTTACATGTAACCAGGGGCCCTCAAGAACCATGCAAAAACAAAGGTTTTCACATACATATCATTTGCTCGTCTGGCTCGTCGAAGATTTTTGCTCGTCTGGCTCGACTGTCTTGACATATCATGTGCGCTGTTGAGACTAGTCTTGGCGGACAGGGGAAGCGACGGAGTTACAGTGTGTGGTGGCCGGGTTGCTAGAGACGGGGCCGGGTCGCCGGGTCAGGGAATGGAACATTGGAAACACTGACTTGGGTTTGTTGTCCAGGAACCGGTTAATACGATAGGGAACCAAATAACAGCCAAACACGACCCATAGGACTGCCATAGGACTGCCGATCAGCAGTCCCATGGAGTGTCTGGGACACAGCAAATAAGGGGATTGACCCACTTCGGGAACGTCAAAATTCACCTAATCATGCGCAATCAGAAAAAAAATTCAGGCTGAGAAAGACTCCATCCCTTTGTTAACCCCTCATGATCGCTACGTTGACCTGTTTGAAGCAGAAGAACCACCCCACAAGGGGAAGAACACAACATGTGGGCATAGGTTGCATGAACATGTTTCTCAACACTTGGAAAGTTCTGGAAGGTATATACAAGTCTCAGAAGTGGTCGAAAAGTGGACTCAGCCACACTGTCATCCAAACAGTGCGACTGGCCCCCGCAAAACCTGGGGATTTGAGAGGGTTCAATCCCTCCATATTGAGGATCCAGGGTCACGTCTGAGTCTGATAAGAAAAATAAGTCCACTCGGTCTGAGGTTTTGCAGGTTGACCAGTTTGGACCTGAGTCGGACCCTGTAGAGGGGACTGATCTCCACCCAATCTTCTCATCTCCAACCACCTCCGACGGTCTCAATGATCTTGGTGAAGTCGCTGGCGAACCTGGGATCGGCGAGTCGCTCCAATGTCACTGGCTCTTCGTCTGGCTTGGCTTGGTCGGAACTAACGCCGCACCCTGCGCCGGGGGTGCGCCGCGCGAGCGGGTCGGAACAACGGCAGGTGACAGCCGAGCAGGCCCAGGGGTGGTTGAACATGGCGCAACTGGTATGGGTAAAAATTCAAACCTAGGCCCCCGGGCCGGTGTCTAACAATAGCTCCTTAGAGGTGATTCGAGGTGTCCATTCACCACCCCCAAAACCAGGGTGTTCTATGCGCTTCGGAGATGGGCTCATCCTTGTTGGGGCCATCCTTCCACTCCACAGAATGCCATCAAATGATTTCAGGCACAGTTGACTCATGTTGATGCATTTTGGCGCCAGTGAAAACCTGTGTCCTCAACATCCCACCCTCACTGTTGTTTGTAGAGAGGAAAAATCATTTCATCCTAACCCCCGCAATTCCTACCTATCCCAGGTCCGGAACATCCCAGGTCCGGACCTCACCCATTCACTTCTCAGGTGCTCGACACCGCCCAAGATGTTATGCCAGTCTTTTTGCCCAGTGGAGCTGTTGGCGATGCCCAACATACCCATCCTCAAGCTGTTGCGGTGATGCTGGGCTGAGTGAAGGGACGGACGGAAGCACCTGGCCTATCCCAAACATGACTCACGGGACCTGGCATAAGACGACCGATCAAGCCAGACCCCTGAAATCCACCCCCTGGCCGTTTTGAAGGCAGTCCGGACTGGCAGTATTAGTCGTGTCTGGGTATACTTCTACCATCTTCTACCATCATATACCCCAAACACTCCATGTATGCCTATACATTGACCCCCAAACTACCTCAATGTAGGCATATATGGCAGTCCCATTAGTCGCGTTTGGGTCTTATACCTGTAACACCGACCGCGCACAGTCGCTGGTCGCATTGGACGCACCGAAACCACCATGGATCAATCACCCAACCGACCCACTCGGCGTGCTCAGACATGTGTTTTTTTCTGGTCGCAAACGACCGGGGTGACTCTGGGATCTGGTGCTTCAGCCGGCGACGATGAGATTGGTCCCAAGTGAGATTGGCCCTCCAAAAGCACATCACTGGTCGACCTCGCTTTCTTCTCGCTCAAGTCCCCACCGTGAAGGAGCTCAGCTCCTTCGTATAGCTCAGAGTCACTCACCATGGAACCCCAATGCCACTGAGTTGCCCTGCCGAAGTCCAGTCATGACTTTTAGACTCTTAGAAGTGTTGAATCATGATCATGACTACCAGGTGGGGTAAAGTAAGTTAAAAACTTGAAGGTCTGGGTTAGAATCGAAGTCCAGACATGACCCTTAGACTCTTAGAAGTGTTGAATCATGATCATGACTACCAGGTGGGATAAAGTAAGTTAAAAACTTGAAGTTCTGGGTTAGAATCGGTTATATATATGGCTGTGGGTCAAATCCCAGAGCCCCGACTCAACCCTGGCAGGTTCACCTCGCTACTAGTCTGTTCATGTTCAGTGGCCAACCAGGGTCCCTGGATTTTGACCCACATCCATATAGAAGTAATCACCCCTGGCCGTTTTGAAGGCAGTCCTATGGCAGTATTAGTCGTGTCTGGGTATACTTCTATCATCTTATACCCCAAACACGACTAATGGGACTGCCAGTCCGGACTGCCGCCCCATTGACCCCCAAACTACCTCACCTGATCGGCAGTCCTATGGCAGTCCCATTAGTCGCGTTTGGGATCAGTCTGTTCTTGAGGGTCCGAGCTTTTGGAATCGAGAAAGGTGACCTATTGAGCGGTGACGGTGAGGCCTCTAATGAAGCCGTCGATCCAACTGGTTTCCTCTCCGAAAGTCCAAACAGCCCGGCTGGTCCTCAGACCTAGGGATTTGAGACCCGCCACATGAGGGTCCGATCCCTCCATATCCCGCCTCTTCCAAAGCCCTGCAAGAACCATCTCAAGGGCTAACACCTACCAAAGACCTCAACGATCTTAAGATTCGGAAGATCCAATTTCACAGCCAACGATCTCACAATCTCTTACCCTAAGAATCCGAGTCCGGGCCCTCCATGGTAGGGGTGAACCCGCTAACCTGACCTCTTCGGTGTCTGGGCTCTATTGTCAACTGAGCAGCTTCGAAAACCCCTATTACTTTTTTGTATAATCCAGGTTTGCTTTCGCAAAGCTTTCGCGGAGCTTTCGCGGCCTGCATTCTTGCTTTCGCGGAAGGTGTGGTGTTATGTGGGGCTTTCGCGGCGGCTTTCGCGGCGATTCTTTTTCGATTGGGAAATTCGATTGGGATATTGTACAATAAAGTGATTGATCTATATGAGTTATCCGATATGTCAAAACTGAACAAATTTCTTTCCGGCAACATCCTGGCACAAGGAGTTGTAGAAGAGGAGGAAAACTTGCTGAAACTTTTTGCTGGGGCCAGATACCTTTCCCGGATATTTTCGACTTTCGCGGTTTCGCGAGGCTTTCGCGCGGCTTTCGCGGAAATTCGTCTGGGCTTTTCGATTTTCCCCTGAAACACTTGCTCTTCAGTGCTGCTGCTGCTGCTGGCTGGTCTGCTGCGGCTGGCTGGCTGGCTGGCTGGCTGGCTGGCCTGCTGCGGCTGCCTGCATAAAAATACGGTCACCCAACATAAACAACACGACATGCACAAGAAATTCGACTTTCGCGAAATCTTTCGCGACGCTGTTCTTCTGGGGTTCTTTCGCGAACCTTTCGCGACCTGCGTTTTGGCTTTCGCGAAAGAATGTGAGATTACAGTTTGCACACTTTTCATCATAGAGGTTTTTGAAGCTGCTCAACTGTGTTCGAGGGCCCCGGATTCTTAGGGCAAGATCATGAGGCAGATCCACAGACCAATTCTCACTCCCCGTCCGTCGGACACGCCGCGGCGACGGACTTCGTACGGATCTCGGACACTGAGCCGAGGCGCGTTTTGCAGGCCTCGCCCACGGCAGCATGGACGCTGCACTTGGACCTTGGCCCCCCGACGGAGCCAGTCAAAAGGGACTCAACAAAGGTTATAGTAGTAGCCTTAGCACTCAGAATGTAAGACCCTGTGGTTCAAGAAAATCAGGTATTCTAACTGCTGGCCTACTACGAGAAGTGACCTGAAAAGGACCAGGTGCAGCTTGGTGCACTCACTCATGCTGGCTCCTTAGTTAGAAGCCAGTTAACTGAAAAATAGCCGAGTGGTTGATTCGAACAACCAGAAAGGAATTGGACGGTGGAAAGTGGGTGGTTTTTAAGTTCTTCCTTCCTGCCTGCTCCTTCCCTCCCTCCCTCCCTCTCTCTCTCTCTCTCCAAAGGTCTCAAAAAAGAGTCTCCAGGTGGCAAAGTCAGGAAGGTCTCGCTGATGCAGAAGACCAGCTGAGGCAAATAGAAGGTGCCCAAAATGTTTTTCGACAAGATCCTCAGGGCAAATGCTCTTCGACAACTCCTCAGGGGCTGTGGGAGTTTTGAAACTGATGCTCTTCTCCACATTTAGCTACAAAGGTCACCCAAACGAAAAGAAATATTCTCCCACAAACACATCCCCTGGACGTGGAATGGAGTTCACCCCCCTATTCAACTATTCTTTCAGCAACATGGTCGTGTTCGGGGGCGTCTTTTCCACTTCCAATGGCTTTTTGGAGTCAGAGAGTCATTGCTTTTGGCCAGGTATGAGCTTGATGAGGTCCACAGAATCAGGCTATCCATCGGTACCCCCCAAAGAGGTCAGGAACGGAGCTCATGACATCCTGGTCGTTGGTCATATGAATCAACATCTAAGAGCTCCATACCATACCTCTTTTGTCACAAGGTGTACAGGCTGTGCAGGTGTTCAGGACCAGGCTTTACTGGACGTGGATGGGACTGGACGATCTAATTGACCAATTGACGTCAACATGATCCTGAGGACCTCAGACACACAAAGAGAGAGAGAGAGAGAGAGGAGCAGGGGAGAGAGAGAGAGAGACCTCCCAAAGGCCGCACAACAAGCCGATCATCTGCATTCCACCAACCCTCGTTCCTCACTCGACTCAAATCGGTTTCAAAGGGTGAGAACATGGCACCAAGGTGATGTCTGAGGTTTCGGGTCCACCGATCCACCAAGCCTTGGGTGTGCCATAACGGTACGTCTGGTTTGCGCCACATGCAGTATTGGTTCGTCTCCCTCGTCTCCCTTGTGGTTTTGGACCTCTCATACCGAATTGAAAGAAACCGACCGGCCTCGTCTATGGCTCTGAGGCTTTGAGGCTTTGGCTCCGAGGGCCTTTTCTGGCGATGGACCTCGCAGACCTGGGGATCTTCCGACCAACAAGAGGTTAAGTGACCGTAAAAAAGACCCGGGATACCTGGGAGACCAAACTGGGATAGCCGAACTGGGGTTCTTAGAAGTTCTGCCTTTTCATCCAGAAAACGAGCCCCAAAGGCGACATGTGTTGCACAATTGGAAGCCACATTATACACACACATTGGGCATGTACTGCCTCTCCAGCCCAGGGCACTGTCCGTTGACCACCAAACCTTGGATCGACGGTGCTTTCTCGGAGAGTCAGGAGAGGGCGCTGCGGTCTTGGCGCGCGCGTGCGCGCGCGCCACGTGCGGCGAAGTGGTTTCTGTCGGAGTGCGACGTGTTTCCGAGCACTCTCCGAGCTGAAACCAAACCCAAACGCTCCATGGGACTGCCATATATGCCTACATTGGGGTGGTTTGAGGGGTCAATGTAGGTATATATGGCATACATGGAGTGTCTGGGAAAGGTAAACTGCCATGTTTCCGAGCTGATCGTGTCGAGTTTCAAGAATCATGAGCAGCTCTATCATGCTCTACCCCATTGGCCCAGTCTCTCAGCGAGTAGTTGGGCATCCCAGTCTGTCAGTTGGCCCAAACACGACACTCAACACCAGGGTGGTCACATGGAAAGTATAGCCACACCAAAGCCAAAACCTGGAGCCTCCCCTCGTGGCATCCGAGAACGCCTTGAAGTCTTCGAAGTAGAAGCAGTTCGATTGCTGGAGGAGGTCTGTCTCCCGTTCATCCGGGGCGCAGGTTGCGTCGGAATCGACCGGGGCGCAGGTTTACCCGTTCCAGATCGCCCCAATTCCTTGACATGGCCTGTTTAAATAAAGCTCACTCATCAAACATTGAACATCATTTTAAAAAAAACAACACATAATTGAAACACAACTATTAAACTTTGAACATCTTTGAACATCATATGCTGGTTCTTTATCCAATCATGGTTCTTTCTGCACCTTCCAACAGCTTGAGCCCCGCGTTCTTCCCGACCTCTGGGTCGCCGGGTCGCGCCACATGACGTCTCCAAGGAGCTGAAGGCCTTCTTCGCCGAGGTCGTGGCGTCGTTGTAGTGCATCAGGGTGGTGGGCACCTCGATGAAGACCGACCCAGCCATGGCCTCTGACACACTGCCAGGCGGCGGCGGTGATGGCCATCCCAGGATGGAGGGGGTGGAGAGGTGAGGAGATCGTGAGTGGCTGTTGAGTGGCTGACAGAATACCATGGGAAAGAGCTATATGAGATGAGTAGATCATAGTAGATTGTTAGACTGGAGATGAGTCGGAGTTGTCAGTTGTGAATTCAGCCCAAAATCACCAGGGGACCCGCCTAACTTGAGTTGCAAGTGCTGGATCCTTGGCAACTCAAAAAAACTCCTGCACCACCTGAGAGGCTGCTCTGCCCCCAAATTCCAAACAACCCTCTGCTTGACCATTTTCTCCTTCAGCCTGGTTTGCTCGAGCATCAGGGCCAACGAGCGTCGCATCCGGGATCCGAAAACATCTCCCACTCCAATCATCTTCATCCGTCTTCAACCCCTTCTAATCTCTATCTAACGCGGTATATTCCATTACCCAGGGCCTAGTGGATGATGGTTAGGTTGCAGGCCTTTCCATCCATCTAAAGAATCATGATCATTGACCGACTGGTATACTGGTTTACTGGGACACACCCTCCATCTGGCTGTGGGCCATGGTACCAGGACATCTTGCTTGACCTACCGACGGGGACGGGTCGTCGTTCGCTGCATGGTACCAGGTGTTGCAGCTCCAGCTGGGTCACGACCCATCCCCATCTGCATCCCTTCTGACTCCTTCAGTTTCCCAATGACAAATAAACGTTCCCCAAACTTTCCACCTGTTCTAGTTGCTTTAGTGGGATCTCCCCAATTCAACCCACAGGCAAAAACCCTCCGGATCAAATCCACTGAACTTCCTGAACTCCAACTCGATCCTTGTGGCCCGATCCAGCCATCCAGCCCGGACAGCCCAGCAGCCGCAATCATGCCCGTGGCGTTGCCGTTCACGCCACCACCCACCTGGGGCGCCGCGGTGACCGGGTCCTGACCGGGTCCCGCGGTGGGTTCGTGTATGCTTGAAAATGACTATGCTCTCTAAGAGCCATACTCCAGGACTTACTCCATACCTGTTGATTGGGGTAGAATCATGGAATTCATGAGGTTTGGTTACCTGCCGTTGCGAGACGACATCCCAAGCAGACTTCATATCCAATCTGAACAACCTCCAAGGACCCACACTGCCAGGGCACGGCAATGATCACCACCCGTTTCTGCGCTTTCTTGGCCGCGCCAATGGCATTCAAGAGCTCCAACTTCCCATAGGCCTCTTCCCGCACGCGGTCGCGATCGGTCGCCCGGTCGCAGACCATGAGTGGACCAAGCATACCATGACCCAGACACTCCATGGGACTGCCATAGGACTGCCGATCAGTTGGGGTGGTTTGAGGGGTCAATGGGGCGGCATATATGGCATGCATGGAGTGTCTGGGTGATGATTCCACTCACATGCCATTGAGTTCGTGCCATTGTGGACTCACATGCCGACTCAGTCGTGGACTGATCCGCTGGTTTCACGATCCAACGAGGCAACCGGTGGCCACTACCGCGTCGTCTCCCATCGCGAATCCGCGCACGGAAGACCCATGGAACCCGTCTCTGGCCTGACGATCCAGGAGTCACATGGAGGGCCTGGGTGGTGTGGTTCGTCCCATCCAGCGAGTGGATGTCGTGGACACCCCGACTACCTCCATAAAGCACCCAGTCTTGTGACTGCTGGTAGTGGCTTCTTGTTACTAGTCTCTTCTCTTTTCTTCTCAATGGCCCAGTGCCGTGATGACCTAACTTCGGTTCTGACTGTCCATCCGGGATCCAGTACCGAACCTCAGGTATGGCACGACTGGACCCTGGCACCCACCCCAGTCCCACCGTACCTGAGAAGGTACGACTGGATCCCTAGGGCTGGATCATTCTCTCATCTTCCAGGCTGATCATGAATGATCATGACCCGACCCCAGCCCGCGCCGCCGAGCCCGCGCAACAGCGCACACCCGCACCTCGGGGCTCTTGCAGGTCTCCCCGGAGGCATGGGAAAAGTAATAGCCCGGGCAGTCCTCTGCGGGGAGCGGCTGAGAAGTTTCGGACGAAGTCTTGGTGTTCCGGAGAAGTTGTTCCCAGAATCTGCCCAAACACACCAAACTAAGGTCTTACAGTCGTACAAATTACAAAATCCCCCCTAAGTGTCCAACTCACAGATAAAACACGAAACAAGAAGCGAATGTCTTCTCTGGACCCCACAGAACAGGCCCTGGCCTGAAAGCTCAGGAGGACTTCTTCTGAACAAAAACACACACTCCAAGTCTCCAAGTGCAAGAACATCCCCATCCCGCGGCGTTGATGCTTTTGCCATGTTTTAGCTCGTTACGCACTCGTGATGGTGGGCGCCCGATTTGGCCTCTGGGCGCATGTAGCCAAGCTTGCGCTTGCATCTCAGCTTCCCAGAACGAACGAACGCGACCTCGTGTGACCGGTGGGCTGGAAGCTTGCTCTCAGTGAGTGGGGGAAGGAATTCGACTGAGTGAGGGGATTGATTCATGAATCCCCACTCAGTGGTTCCCCCCACTCAGTGGAACCAGTGAACTCACTGAGTTACACCGAATGTGGGGATTCATGAAAACATGTTGGTAGAACGCTGGTGTCGAAAATTCGATCCTTTTCGGGCAGCGAGGCGATTTTCCTTTCTCGAATCCTCGGTCTCTCTCCGACACGGAACGTCCTTGGCGGCGAGCGCCTCCAACAGGTCATCACCTGGTGTTGAGATCAATCGTGTGTGGTGAGATCAACGGTGATACCATGTCGACACCTAGGGATCCACATTGACTGGACCCGAACCTCAAATGGGACGCTCCTGGACCCGACCCTGGAGCGTATATAAATTCGTGTCCAATCACCGTACTTCAAATGGTGGCCGTGGATCCATACCCAAACACGACACTGTCGACTGGCAGCCAGGACTGCCGCCCCAGACAGACCCCCCCCAAACCCACCACCCCTGGCCGTTTTGAAGGCAGTCCGGACTGGCAGTCCCAGCCAGGGTCGTGTCTGGGTATAGACTATCCCAGTTGGGATACCCCTAGGTGACAGTTTGGGATTGACCAGTTTGGGATTGAATCCATTGCACTGTGCAGCCGGGCAGTCCGAATGGTCTGGGATCCGGCTTCGCTTCGATGTCTACACCGATCCCCGGGACTAGCGGAGAACTCTTGCATCGACTCGACGGTCGGGACTGGAATGCCCCACGAAACCGGAACCCTGAAATTAAACCCAAGGAATTCTTCGCATACTGTGTGACTAGGTTTGGAAGTGGACACGTTCCAATGCCAATAACGGCCCCAAAGTGGGCTTGATTGGAAGAGATAAAGGGCTAAATAATTCAAGTCATCAACTGAGGACAAACTGGGACATAGGATATACCAGCAAGGTGAACAATGTTGTGACCACATGGCTAACGAGGAAACAGCTAAGGGGGAGGGAGTGTTATCGGCCGAAAAAGGGCATTGGCGTCCACGGTCCACTTGTCGTTGACGCTGATTGACAGGCAATTGCGATTGGCAAACACTCCATGTATAATGCCATATTTACCATTATTTACCTACATTGGGGTGGTTTCAGGGGTCAATGGGGCGGCATATATGGCAGACATGGAGTGTCTGGCAGAGAGGAATCATTCTTTGAGGAAGATCAAACGAAACATTTGAGCTGGGCCAAATACGTATAGGATTAAACCCCTAAGTTCCATATGACAAGGCCTTGACTTAGTTCATCTTGGGAGGTTTTTGGCCTTGCTCATTTCTCGGTCATGTCACGTCTCTTCTAAAATAGTTACATGTCAGGTTCTGTACGCCTTACCTTATACGGCGTATGCTTTATTGGTGAGTCTTTGAGGGTCTCCGCTTCCTCGACACCTTGGAGTTCTACGCCGTCGGCTGATGAAATGCCGTAGACAGTGAGCCCTTGAGACATTGGAGAAACCTCTGGAGAGTTTCTCAGTTGAGATGAACACACCTTAAGAAAATGAACATCAGCACGTGGATGAATCCTCTAAAGCCCAACCTCAGCACGTGGATCAACTCTACATGCTCAACATGTCGCAAACTAACTAATTCATTGAGGATGCTGCGTCACTTGTTTTCTGAGGAAAGGATGGAGATGGTATTACTTGTATCACCTTTACAACAAAGGACCCCAAGCTGCCGAGTTGAATTCCCACCGATCAGTTTGGCCCAAACCTGAACTACTACCGAAACATTTCAGGTATTTTTATCTTGAGAATATAGAGTATTGATTTTGCCTCGTTTGACCTGAAACAGTTCAAGTGAACCTAAAAACAAGTGAAACTTGAGACCTGAATGCCATCTCAAGGCCCTGAAACATGTGCGAACTTCAAGTCTTCCCATGGCTCGCTCCGGTTCGTGTCCCTTGGCGCCCTGGCCATAGCCCAAAGCATCCCCAGTCTCACCTGCAACAGCCCAACCCAGGCAGCCCCCCAAGAGGGCAAGCCAAGTTTCGGGATGCCTGCAGGGAGGTAAAGCTTGGGTGTATAGAAATTCCTTGGGCCCAGTGGATGATGATGGGGCCTGTTTTTGAATACTGTATGTGTTTGGTTTCCACCCGACGGTTTTTACAGGTCGGACACCCCCAAGCCCGGTAAAGCTATCAAAAGAGGTCTCGATGTTCGATCCCCAGCTCAGCTGGCAGAAAACAAACACCCGTCACTTGGCCAACATGTTCCTTTCTGAACGAACACTGCGCGGTTTGGGGCGGCCTGAATTCATCATCTTGGATTTGCTTGAGGAACCTGCCATAGGACCATAGGGGAAAATATCATCTTAAGCAACAACAGGTAATCTTCCTCAAGGAAACATGCACGTAACTGAGATCTGAGGTTGCGCTAAAGACTTATGCAGCTGAGAGTGTGCTCTGTAGTCACTGCAGTTCCTCCACAGTCCACTGGCTTGTTCAGCCTTGAAGGAACCAATCGTATACCGTGCCCATCCAGTGCAGACCTGACGTGATCACGTCACTCCTCACGTGTTGTTTGCAGCCCCGCACATCCACTTGCCGCCTGTCTGGGCCACATCATTTCCTTCGAAACTTTGCCTTGTGCCATTTGCCCCATCTTTCAGTGCGTCCTGCGTGACGCATGCCAGAGTTCGAACGCCCGAAGTCATCGGCCGAGTAAGAACGGCACCTGGCTGATTCGCGGGAAGCTTCCTAGCATGCCGCACCACGCGGAGCCTTCGCCGAACATCGCGCCTTTTTGAGGGCTGCTTCGTGACCCAAGCAGCGCACGAAGCGCTACGCTGCGCGCATGGGTTTCGCACCTGAAAGGTGGGTTTCGCACTTGAAAGCGTCAGGTGCACCTACACCTGGATCCTCCTTTTGGGCGGAAAAAAAGTGCCGGACCTCAATCCGGCAAAGTTTTCCGCCGGATTCCGAAAAAAACGCCGGAGACCGGAGACCTGAAAAGACATCCGGATCCAAGATTCTGAAGAACAGAGATGATAAAAGGTTGGATCATACACAGCAAACTGCCTTTGCGCCACGAGTAGTTTTTTCCTGGAACACACTCATTCCACAACCCAGCACTGGAGCCTTCCCGTTCCCATTACCCTCGCCCATCTTCCGAATGGCCGATAAGAGCAGAACCATCGCAAAATATAAGCAAACTTGTGCCCAAGCAAAGAATTCCAACAAGAAACCAAGGAGTATGTGGCAAGGAGCCCCTATTTCTCTGCAACCGTGTCTCTAGAAGTTTTTTTGCAAAGTGGCTCTCCATGATTCTTATGTTTTTAAGTGGTGTTTTAAAGCTTGCCTCAGGACGGCCCGCCAATAAAGTAGCAGAACTCATGGCTCTTGTCGAAACTCTTAGTCGAAAAACTTTTCAAAAGACTGAGTCCAAACAAATACGCCGGAGTTACGGGAAATTATGCCGGAGTTACGAAGCGCAAATTCTTAGCAACTCTCTGCAAAACATTGAGATTCTGAACAACACATGTTCCACAGCCCAAAACTTGTCCCGCAGGCTCTGCAAACCTGCGCAACTAGAACTGATTATATCCCAGCGCCCCGACATCCTGAAACAATGGGAGTACATTTTTGCCTATGTTCTTTCAGCTTGGGTACACCCACTTGGGTCTTTCAACACGTGCATCGCAGTGTACCAACTTCATCCGATTTCATTTAGAAGATCACTTAAACGGATCTGAGTGATCCAGTGTGAACCATGCTGAGACCGGTGGAATGAGCAAACAGCGGAACAGGCAAACGAGCCAAGCAAATCATTACCTTCAAAGAAATGCAAGCCACAAAGAATGCAAAGCCTTGAGAATCCACATTTCAGGTGACTTGGAAAAACTGCCGGACCAAATCCAGAAAAACGCCCGAGTTGGAAGTCCGGCGCAGGACCCTGTAAAAGTGCCGGACTGAAGATCTAGGTATAGCCAATGCGCACGACGTTGTACCGTTCCAGAAACAGGTTGATGCGTTCGTGGGGAGTTGCGTCACAGGGTCACTTTGTCCGGCAAACCGATCGATTCATCGAAGCAAACACGTTCATTGGACAATCTCTGCCAGCAAGAGTCACAGATTGGCCAAGACTTTGGTACCGGGGTTGGGGGTTTCACTTGTAGCCATCTTCGCACATGCGCACCAAGCAAAAGACCTATAACACATTTGACTCTTCCTGGCACTCTGATGGCGCAACTGATTGCCAGGTGTAAGCATCATCACTGTCAACAATACACCCCAATGGGTCAGAGAGAGAGAACGCACTTTGCGATCCTGCAGCTTGGAACAACTTGCGCTTCACTCTACACATGAGCCTGCCGTGACGGGGTTGCACTATGATGTTGCCATATAGGGTTGCACAGGAAAGCTTCTTGCCGCTTGCTTTTGATTCCCCACCTGCCAGGTGAGGGTCTCTAGATTTATGCAGGGTTTTGCCGACCTGCTCAACTAGTTAGCACTTCGAGTGTCGCTTTCGGATGTGACGATTGACTCTTTGTGGGTGAGGACATCCAAGACTGGATCCCTACCAGGGCCAGGTGACTTGCTAGTTTTATTATAGTGGATGCAAAAGGCATCCTCCAAAACATGAAGCCTGGAAACGGACTTTGCCCAAGCTCAGCCTCCAAAATCGCATTTCCTATGTGCATGCTGACAGCTACACATGTGGATGGACACATCTCAAAATTCCATGTTCAAGCATGTTCAATTTTCTAGCTACACAGTGTCTTTCATTGTCTTTCCTTTCCCCAAAACCGGCTCCTTTTTCTTCAAGAAGTGACAACATGCCACCACTTGAATATCTGAAAAAGAAACAGCACAAACTCAAACTTTAACCTCTCCAAAAAACAACGGCTCTCCTGCCAACTATATAACTCTTCTCCGTGAAGGACATGGACCTATAAGCAACCAAACCCCATCGATCGACCCCAAAGCTCCGAATCCGAATGTGGGGCCCAGGCCCACAGAGACGACGGGGAACAGCTCGGCACCTGGATTCGGTGAAAGGGGCGATGGGCAGATCGGCGGCGGCTGAAAAACCGTGGCTGCTTTGAAGAACACACACACACACATGCGATTTGAAGAGCCCTCATGAGCCATCCACCTGGGTGTTGGTGATTAAAAAACACACACACCAATGGTTTGACATCTGTTGAACACAACAAAAAATGATATCCACAGATCCATAACTCTTGATACTTTTCAAGCTTTGAGAAACTGCAGGTGGTTGAGTCCGAAACAATTCTGGAGTCCCTTCCAATGGGGATGAGAGCACAATCTCACCCACCTATGGCCTGGACTCCAGTCGACGAATATCGAAAAACCATAGAAGTGGAAGTGGACCGAAGGTTGAAAACGATAGAACATGGTGTTCCTTTGAGATCAACCCAAGCTCCCCAGTCTCTCTCTCTCTCTCTTTCTCTGGCTGGCACCATAGTGGTCCACCAGCAACGTGGCCAAGCGCTCGATGCCCGCGTTGTAATCGCCCTCGTACGTCACCTCACCAGGAGGGCGCTGGTTTCTAGAGTGATCTCCCCCCAAAGTATGTAGAAACAACTCCAACATACTGCATGAAACTGCATGAAACTTTAAGCTGGTGGCTGACTTGCTTGCACTCCATGCTGACCTGCGTGTCTGAAAGAGTGTCCAGTGCATCCGTCCAATCACTGAGCAGTTAGCTTTGTGCGTCTTGGTTTTATCGTTTAGACAGTGAGCTTTGGCAGCAAAGCTGACACCATTGCGCACATGCGAAAACGTCAAGAACAGCCAAGCAGAATGACATGACACGAACATCTTCGGAAGGGACAGGAAAGCACACCGAAAGAACTATGACCCTTCAATGCGTCTTCTTTCTAGTGGAGCTTGGGTAAACCCAAGGAAGAACACAAGGAAGGGTCAAGCACTCAGAAGAAGGTTTAACCTTCGGTGCACCTTGAGATTCAACCTTCGGTGGAGAGTCATTCCGTGGAGGTTCCGCAGCATGTTTCAGACCTCTCTAGGGCCATTTAGGGAGCAAGGGAGCTGTGCCACAAGCTAGGCCACGAAAACAAGGCCGTGGCGGTAGAAGTGCCGTCCGTGGTCCGTTGCAGTGTCCAAGTTTTCCGACATTTTCAAAATGCTGTCTCTTCTTTCATGTCCGTTCTCTCCTTTTGTTTCCACTTTACCTTCCACTTCTGGTTTGTTCATTTCCTAGAGAAGAATTGTTCATTGGGCCATGTCCAGTGTTGATGCGCTGCCATCGGTTCCAACTTACTGTTGGTGGCGCAGAATGCTGTGAAGGTTACCACACCATGTCTTGTTGAAAACACCTGTCTCGGTGACCCCCCACCGGTCACCACAAGTGGTGTGAAGTTGGGTCTATCCTATTACCTGTATAGTAACAGTGGATGATGATGATTAGTAGAGGTCTCGTCCAAAAGTAGTGATTTGCTTGTTTACGGGTCCTGTTACAGGTAAGAACGGACAAACAGAAGTCTGAAGTACAATCATCATCATGAAGTGTAGTGTGAGTTCACCTGTTGAAGACTCAGTCTTCGGGGCCATGCCATCCATGTCACCAGGATTCTTCCAGCCCTAAGAATCCGAGTCCGGGCCCTCAGAAGGGCCTTCTCCCTCTTCGCAGGGGTGTGGACCCGAAGCAAAACCCCATGTGTTGGTGAAGGAGCACGAATTTCTTACGGGAGTGAGACTACTGAAACACCTGAAACCGGATGGTGGGATCTCTAAGCATCCATCTTGCGACGGTGTAAGAACAATCGTTGAAGTTTAGACTCCAACATTGGCATATGTCGCAAAGAAAAAGGACGCTTAGGAGGATTAAGAGCTAGACGCCCTCAACACGGCGTTTCTGATCACATTGATGTAGTCCAGCAGCACTTCCCCCTTGCTTTATTATTTGAAGTCAATCAATTTATGATAACTAGTAATTACATCTATATAGCTGTGATTCGCTGTGGATCAAACCCAAAGCCCAAACCAGGGTAGGTTGACCTCCCTAGTAATCCATTCTGTTCATGTTCGGTGGTCAACCAAGGTACCCAGGTTTTGACCCACAGCCATATCTCTTTGACGTCGGACACTGCAATGCTCCAGGCGACCATCGGCAAATTGAGCGCGCCAATCTTGAAGGGCGCGGGCTTCTCTTCCGGATGGGCCTCCGGGCCTGGGAGAAGCTGAGACTTTCAGGTGATGAACATTCCGCATCTCGCACACGAAGCAAAAAGCCGACAGACACTTTCCAGAAACAGTGCATTGAGACCTGTTAGGGTCCAACAACCCTCAAAAAAGAGACCTGTTGGAGGGTGCTTATGTCAAATTATCCTCAAATAGATCAACAGAACGTCCAATGTATCTTCCTTGTACCACACACACACACACACACACACACAGGGGCTTCCCATTCTGAGCGGGAGCTCTGTGCGCAGCACTCCGTGCACGGACTCGACTGGTGGACCACGCGGACCCTGGTGGGACGATTCAAGACCTCCCCAAAAGACAGAAGCCAAAAAAGGATGGTATGCTTAGGGGAACACCCGGTCGCATTTTTGGAGGTCCTTGGGAGGTCTCCCCAATTTTCATACACACCCGGTCGCCTGGATTGCACTCGGTCGCCTAGCGCGATCCAAAGAAACATCCAACCCTGATCAGGTGTGGTAGCACCGTTTTGGATCGTTTTGGGTTCTGCCAAGGGGGTGTTCTTTCCCGGTGAAGACCGGCCGAGTTGCTCCACTCTCG